GGACTAGCTACCTCATGCAAATGTCTCAGGAGCACAGGTTTATACACTATACATGTCCTGAAATTGTGTTGTGATTTAAAAATCTGTTTTCTGTTGTGCTTCTATGTCTGTATTCAGGAATTTTACTAAAACTTACAGAAGCAACTAAAACCAGAACTGTAATAAAAAATGAAGAGCTACGTTTTGTGCAAAGAAAATTATTTGTATGTTTAAACATCCAATCGCAAATCACCAAAAAAATGACTGGAGTATGATACATATTTTTGAAAAAGTAAACTCTACATTTGGTCAGGGAGAGAGCAAAATAAGGTGAAATACTCAAAAGAGTCTACTAATGCAAATTAATAAATCTCTGTTTGGCAGACAGTTTAGAGTCCTTTAGCCATAGCTTGATGATTAAAACTGTGTAGCATTTGACACACAAATAGACAATATAAGCTCTTTGTTGCTTCTGAATATCCTCTGTAAAGTTAGAGCAGTTGATCTTTTAATGCAGAATGTATTTCCTGAGATTCTAGAGACAAACTTCTAAATAACTCAAATTAAAGTTAATTTTAAATGGACCTGTTAATCTTTTTATCTGGCATACCTTTTGTCACAAAATGAACTAAAAATGTGAAACCTTCAACTTTCCATAATTAAAAACTCACTGAATTTTTTAACTAGCCTAAGAAATAAGACTACAGTTAAAATTATTTATTGACTTATAGCAACTCATCTTGATTCTAAGACAAAGTTGAAATCCAGTAAGTCTGCTTCAGGCTATAAAGTGAAATGCAGGCAGAATTTAGAAGCCTAAATCCAGAAAGCAATTCAGGGGCTCATTCTCCAATGACTGTGCAATACTTAAATGTGTATAACTCAGTAGGCAAATAGTACTCTAAGATCTTCATGGTTGCCAACATACAACCCAATATGCTCTAACCACGGGATAATGGTGGAAGTCCTTCCATGCATGTCCTTCTGGAACCAAGCCATTGATGCTCTGTCACCAACCAAAATCCCTTGTGCTAGGAGGAGAGGACTTGCTTCTGCGGTCTGATAGTTTGGGCTGGGAGGTGGGAGGAACGAATCCTGGGATCTCTTCCCTGGGCTGCTCATTACAAATTTATTTTGTTCTTCTTGCCGTATTTTGCAGTGGAAAATACGGATCTTGTTTAACTGCCTCAATCCATTGCAGTTTCCCATGAATAGCTTTGGTGACTCCACATGCTCTTCTCTTGTGCGTCACTGTCTTTGAGACTTCAGCTTTTCTTGTTTGACCAGGACTCTGGATACCAAACACAGGGATGGTGTTTCCACCAGGTGGCAGGGCTGTTAAATGCTAGGTATTCAACTGCTATATGGTTTTGTGGGTCTAGCCCAAATGCTAAGTTGCCCATGTCTGATTGACCATTGACGTTGGGTAGGAAAATGCTCGTCTGCAGCTGGTACCATCTCTACCCCTTAATGGTTGAAGTAAGTTGTTTGTTCAGTGTTCATTGAAAAGATCAGTAGTCTTAAAGTAATTACTTCCTACACACCTCATTCACCCTTCACAAAATACCTCTTCAGGATATAGAATAATAACGAAGAAACATAGCTTGCTGTTTTACATTGTGCTTCATGTAAAATTATTCAGCAAATCTTTTCTATAATGAATATGTATAATAAATCTTTAGCTTGTCACAGGTCTAATCATGAATGGAAAAGAGAAGAGATATCATGTTATTCAAATAGCTGTAATTAAATTAATTGATTCATTTAAGGCTCTGCCATTTCTTGTGCATTTTCCCCATTTCATTTCCACTGCATTTCCACCGCATGTCCTTCATCCAGGTTGAAATACCAACTTTTTCCAGCTTACTTATCAGATCAATCTCACAATGAATAAAGATTTGCGCTACTTTTCCATCCTTTTTTGAAAAATACAATAAAAGATGTACACTTATTTGTGGACTGGACCAACATTTGTCCACTATACACTGGAAAATGAGCTCTGTAGTGAAACTGCTGACCCAACATTAATTTACAGCTTGCATAAGCAGGGTCGGTATAATAAAGCTTCTTCAGTGCCTGTAAGCTATAAATAGGATGCATTTGTCAATTGCCTTGCCCAGGCAAAATGTAGTCACTTTTCATCCTGCACCTGTGTGCCTTTATGTTTCTTAGAATAGCAGTGGCACTGTCCCTATTGAAATACCTTGTCCATCTTTCAAAACTGAAAATTCCTGCGTACTTCATTAGAGTCATGCCGTCAGACTTTTGTCACCTGAGCACATCCAATAACACAGAGTTTCAAAATACCTGTTTTCTTATAAGCATATTTATCTACCAGTGTTCAGGCACGTTTTTGATTATTTATCTCTGAAACTCTTTCATGTGAAACTGTTGCAATGAGTCTAACACAGCTTGCTTTGTATATATTCCAGCACCTTTTTGAAAAGAAGCATAACTAATACAGGTTCATGAAACGCCTAAAATTTAGATGCAAATAAAGTGTCTAAATTGGGAAGACTGGATTCCGATCTACCCGTTTTCTAAACTGGGTTATGCCCATAATTTAAACCTGCAAAAATCTGTGGAAGTTGGCCACAGGGAGCCCCACTGCTTCCCAAACTATACAGCTGTTCTATAGGATAAAACTACCTGACCTGTCTTTCTTGATAAATTGTTTCCAATTACAAACTTCTCATTTGCCTTCTAATGTTTCCTAGCCACACTGGGGGGAAAAAAAAAAGAAAGGTAAAAAAAAGGTAATGTGTTTAGGTACACAAGAAATCTCTGATATCTCTCTAACAATATCTGTGGAACATTTCATTTTTCTTTGAGTCGCTGAGATGCCCTGTTGCATTTTGTGTAAACATAAAAGCAAAGAGGTTTTTGATTTCATAGTAGTATGCAATTGGGATGGCACCGAAATATACTCTAATGAAGTCTTTCAAACACTTTACATTTTTCTTCTTTTTTCTTAAAAATGCAGAATTTACAACTGTACTTGAAATTATAATACCTTTTATTGAGATATTTTAGAGGCTAATACATTTCTTTGTGAAGTATCAACCAACCAGAAATTAAGCAGATTCCCCATCAATCTTCAGGCATTGCCATGTAAGGGCTCATTCCTTCTCTGACAGCACGTGTGAAAGGTCTGACTTGCACAGGACACATTTGAAGCAGCAGCGTAAAGCCTGTGTAAGCCTCTGTACCCAGGTACCTGGTACTCCATGAAGGAACAGCAAAGTCTTCTACCCCAGGAGCCTCATTGCCCATCAGTGACAAAAATGCCCTTCGTGTCACTCAACCCTCCTTGCAACTGGAACCCACCACATGCGTAGTGTCTCGTGAGCATGCAAGAGCACTGCACATCAGTTCCTTTGTCATGGTAACCAATGTGCAGCCATCTCTCATTATGACAAGGAGCATAAATGCAGCCTAGACAAGAATAGCCATGCTTCTCAGTGAGCCCATTGTGTGAGGTGAAGTATGGGCATTTTAGTCATGTCATAGGTGCCTCTGATAGGTGGCCCCACGGGGTCCGTAAGAAGGAAGGTAGCAGGGTCAGGGCCACGGGCCCTTAGCTGTCACGGTGGGTTTGGTTCATATTCCCTGACAGGCCCCTTCTGCTACAGAACACCCCCAAGTGAACAGCTCTCTGTACCCCCACTGCGTGCTGCTGTACTGCGTGGGTGCTAAGTAGGTCTTAAAGGACCGTGAGATGGACTTCATAGCTTTGTGGACTCGTGCTGTCATGAGGGCTTCAAACTGCCTTGAACAAAATAAATAATCATTGGAACAGAAAAGTTAAATGGGAGGGAACAGTTTCTCCTAGGTGGATTATGAATCTAGTAGAGAACGGTTTGGCTACTTCAAGACGAATTTATAAATAGTTTCAGGCCAAGTGAAACTACATTTTCTGTTGTTAATGTATTCTCTGGAGGAAGATAAGGGCCAGCCCCTGGTTCTAATGATAACACCTATCTGTGATAAGCAGAATTACTAATTCTAAGCAGCAAAACAGGTTATAGTTTCTTGGTTATGGCTATTAGGGTATTTACATTTAGGGGCAAAACCTTACTACTCCTAAAGCTGCTATTTTCTCTGTGTAAATGAGTATTTTGTGAGCATAACACTATTATATGAAAACAGTTCAAGTTGTTAGAAATATGAACTACTCATCACTGCAGGCAGTCTGGTTTGTGTGTTTCAGAGGATTGTGTTCATGTACCCTTTGCTGACATAGGGGAGTTTTTTCCATTTGTTTCATCTTTGGCACCTGCTTCATAAAACTTCAGCTCCATGACTTTCAGACATGAGATTGAAATAAGGCAATTCTAAATCACTAATTTTCTTTATTTTCAGTGTAAAGAATGATAAATGGGGAGTGAGGGCAGCGAGTTAAGCACAAGGTCTTAAAACCTTTTGGACAAAGTTGCTTCAAATTATTAACAGCTGTTTAATCTGTTTTCTTTCAGCTGTAGTACAAATGAGAGCAGCTTTCCCTCAGCAAAAGTGTAGAACTTGAGTGTTTACCCACATACACCTATTTATTTCTTTAATTGTAAATACTAGAACGGGAGTACTCACAGCCACTCAACATCTAACATGACTAAGCCAGGGCACACTAGCATTCTCAGGATTTCTGTTCATCATCCTACTAGAATGTGTAGATAAGCGTATAATGCTCCATGTTGCCCTTTGCAAATAATGGATGCAGAACAGAAGGTGGTTCCCTCCTCGCACAAGGCTTAGCAGCATAAAATACCTCTCATGAGTTCAAGGGAAGATTATTTTGCTGAAAGTCACTATTATCGATACATCATTATACACGTCACTGAGCAATTTACAAAGGAGATGAGAAACTGGGACCTGAGTCTGCCCTGCCCACAGGTTTATGTCCATGACAAAAGAGGCAGAGGATCCCATGTGAAGTATCATTCAACATGGATGTTGCAGTTTTACACTGCCAGGAGAATTAACTTTATCCACCTTTTTTATTATTATTTCCTTCTCACTAACAGGTTATTCATCAGCTTAGACTTTCAGAGAATGAGAGTGTGGCTCTGCAAGAGCTTCTAGATTGGAGGAGAAAGCTGTGTGAAGAGAAAGAAGACTGGCAGCAAATATTGCACAGCACTGAGCAAAGAATCACAGCCCCACCTCCACCCCCTTGTAAAAAGCCAACACTGTTGAAGAAGGTAGAAGATACCTCCTGCAACAGACTCTCTTCAGGCATATGGGATACCACCATGTGATTCAGATTTGTGTGTTTGCAAACTGTTAGGAATGAAACCATCTAATGAATTCAATCTGCACAATCGGCAAGTTTTCTTCCCTTCACAAAGTGTGCAGGGATTTTTTATAAGCACTCATTCAGGAGCACAGGATGGAGGAGCTATTTAGATCTGTTGTGCATACATGTACATTGTGTTTGTTCTTTTCATATATATATATACACATATACATATATGTGTGCATCTGTGAGTCTATATATGTATGTGTGTGTATATATAGAGAGAGACAAACTGCACTATAAGTACTTAGTTTAAAAGTAGGAGACAGTCACTTAGAGTTCTCCCATGGACAATAAGAAACTACGTTAAGCAAATGATGATGGGAAGAAGTGACTGACAGGCATTTTAGAGACATCAGGAAAGTCTGTGCACACTGTACAGCTGTTTTATATAGTACAAAAATACAATGTTTCTTGTTCTCTGATGAATGGTTTTATTATATTACATGTATACATATATATATTTCTTTGTAGATGTCTGTGTTCTATTGGCGTTGCAAACCTGAAGATTATTTACATGTTTATTACTGGTGTTTTATAACTTAATGCAATTGGTGCTGTCGTTCTTTCTTCAAAATACAGGTAATAAATTCAATACTCGCATTTTTCTTTCATAGTTTATCTTTAACAACATACCAAACAGTTTCAACACTATGTTGTTTTTTCAGAACTGGCAATATCCTTTCTAAAATCCAATACTGAAATTCTTGCAAAGCTCCTATATGCAGGTGTGATTTGATGCTGTTCAGTCATGGATTAGAGAGCATGACTTCTTTTTGGTGGACCTGTGTTTCTGAATGTGTGAACCGTGAATTCTGCAGTTACATGTCAAATCTTATTTCATTCTGGGTTATGTAAAATAATGAGGCACTCATTTAGATTATAAGTATGGTTTGAAATTCGTACCTGATTATGCGTAAGGTCAGGTGTCAGTGGAAAGATACATAATGGTAATGAGGTATGAAAATAGGGCTGTGATTTACTGTTACAAGCCAGAAGGCTTTATGGAGATGGGTATATCAAAGGATTATGTCCTTACGGTGGTACAGTGATGCATTTATACCTCAAATTTCATGTAATGGAATGGTTTCAGAAATTGGAGCATTCTAGTTGGCAAACCTGAGTTCTGAACAGTAATGTTAATTTATCAAAAACATGCTGCTGGAAGCTTGTTAGCTACTGCTCAGCAGCCTTTGAAATACTGCTTTGCCACTAAAACGTATAATTTATATATATACACATGTATTTTGTCAGGGGCCACTTATTTTAAGTTCTTGGAGCCTGTAGAGCTAGCGTGAAACACTTTCCTTGGCTGTTTGCCCCATTCCTATTGGGAACCAGGAAGAAGTGCTTGTAATTTTGCAAGTGGATGTAAAACTAATATTTTCAAATGTAAGCTAGGTTTAAAAAAGTGAGATCACTCTTGGTTGGAAGTTGTTGGGAAAGGAAAAAAACCTGCTTAGAGCTGCAGGTTTTTCCATCATGTTTGACAGAAACTTCAAGCAGGCTGAATGGCAAAGAGCTATCACATGCTTGTTTGTTTGTTTTTACAGGGAAGCAGCAAAACTCAAATTATTCCCATGAGTATCATCAAGCTGTAGGCAGAATTAAGCACCTTCTCTTGCTGTTGATAAAAGTAGAACTTTTGAGTGGACAAGGAAGGGGAGACGCCAGGTTAGCTTGGAATTTTACCTTGTTACCACTGTTAGCTTCACAGAAGTGCTCTTTGTAAGATTACCCATTTTGTTTCATGGAGAAGCAAGGACTCAAGACTCTGAGTCTTAGCTTCAGCTGATGTAAATGGCCATGGGTCATTACTTTATCCAGGAGGGGCAGCTAAACACTGTGAGGTTATGCAGAAAACAACTCTCACCCACTAAATTATGTCAGAATAGGCTTTGCCTGGACGAATCGAGGTTTCTGTCTTTTCGCTCAGGTAACCAGGCACACACAGAGATGCTTGTGTGAGAGCAAAATGAAATGGCTCCAGGACTGGACACAAGAGAGCTAATGAACCTGACCTTGCAACTACATTCCTTCTAGGATGCAAGTTGTTATCCCTGCATGGCACAGCATCACTATACATAGCCATAAGAACATCTACCCAGCTAGCCTGGCAATCCGGAACACCTCCCTGCACTCAGACATGCAGACATGCCCTCGGGCTTACCGCTTCTCAGACAGGCCTGGCACATGGCCCTCACATAAGCTCTGTGGTATTGCTAACTCTAATGCCCACTAGCCGGCTTGGGGACTGGTAGCAGTCAATCCACAGCAGCCTGGAGGTTTAGGGCAAGCTGTAAAAACTGACTGAGGAGCCAGTTTAGATCATGCCAAGATCCCTGCTGCAGCAGTGAGCTTGCTACCGGTCACTGAGCTAGCTGTTTGTAAGGTGAGTTTGTGCATCTCCAGATGACACTGTTGTCATTGCTGCACTTGTGATGTGGGATTACGCAGAGGGGAGAGAATACATCTGTCAAATGGAGGTTAAAATGGGAAATAGTATAAATGCACATTATAATATTTTCTATCCTTACTAAAAGTTGTGTTGTAGACGTGATCAGCCTCAGCTGCAGGAGCTAAATGGAGTCTAAGGAACCTTTTTGCTACTCTTTCAAAGTCTGTATTGTGTCCTGTTATGGCAGTATGAACCAAGTGTGGAAAAGAGGTATGTAGATTTTCTAGCAGTTTCATCAATACAGTTACACAGGAGAAGCCAGTACAAACCTGATTCAGGCAATCTGATTCTCCAGACAATGAGCAAAGCAGATTATTTCCCTCTGTGCAGAAGGCCTTTGTTCTAATTTTTTGCAAACTTGGCTAAGACATGTATTTTCTGGGGCTCTTCCTTAAAGTGTGTTACCACAGTGCAATACAACAAATTAAATAGCAGAAGGTATGAGACTTTTTTTTTCAATTTTGTTATTAATTCCAGGTTATATAATGGCTAACTTTTTACTTGGGAAGATTTTTCAGGGTATTCCATTAAAATACAGTACTATAGGAATAAAGTATTTGTGTTAAAACATGTTTTAAATATTTCTCTAATGGCAGTAAGACACTCCGGAGTGTGACTTATGATGTCATAATTCACACCTAGTGTGTTCATTGGTCCCTTGGCCTTTGGCCTCGTGCCTAACAATGCAGTTGGTAGGGAATTATTATACCATAATTCACACCCTACTGTGTCTTACTGCTTAAATAACCATACCCCCAGAGGTGTCTTAAAACTACCATTAAAGTTTATATTGTGTATCAAAATGTGTTTACAGGGCTGGGAAAATATACTATTGACATTTTGAAATGTTGAGAAGTAGTTTTAGCAGAACTGTACAGTGCTTGTAAATTAATCTCCCCAGTGGAGTATGCACCAGCCAATTACAGTATTTCTTGAGTATATGAAGTTCTCTCTTGCACGTTAAAAAATAGCTCAGACAAAAAAAAGCCTTATGAATTTAATATTCTAAAGGGAAAGATTAAACTCTATGAGCATGCTAATGCTCTTAATATCCAATGAACAATCTAAAATATATTTATATTTGCAATAAAGCAATTTCAGGAAGCTGGGGTTATCATCAGATAATCACTCCTCCACATTGTGCCTTATTGCTTAATTTTTAATATGTGAAACAAACAAAACTCCTAACAAATCAGCCTGTCCTTCAGTATAAGGTAAGAAGAATCAGATATGTTTTACACTTTAAAAAGTCATTGGTCTTAAAGCCAAGGGAATTCTGAAACCATATTAAACCACAATAAAAGAAAAACAACAGCTGTTGGCATGAGAAATTTTTAAAGCTTGTAAACCTTACTTGTTACTCCTGAAATAGCACTTGGTGTTTCTTAGTTGCTGTAGTTACATTCCTATTGCAAATTATAAGCAAAACTTCGCTTTTATAAACTGATTTAGACATTCAGAGAAATACATGCACCAATATTTTACAAAAGATCTGTGTACAGCATGAAGTGATAAGTCTTTTAAAAATTGGTATTGTTTACAAAACAATAGTATGATTGTTGAATAAGTGAATTACATTTGCCTTTTTGCCAGTGATCCTTTTTTATTCCTTCTAAGAGGCTGACTTACTTTCATTAATAACTTCGTTATACTACAGATCTTTTGTGTGTGGGACAAAGAATTTCATTAACTTGCTAAGAAAGCGTAATAAGATTGTAGCATAGTTCTAAAGTGATAGTAATAGCCATATTCATTGTAGTTTTTAATTCTGCTCTATAGTATTGACAACCCTAGTAATCCTGTTATTCTTATCTCTATAAAGTCTGCTAATAACTGAAATGCTCTTGAGGAACCTAAAATAAGTTTTGCCAATCGCTTGTTAAATAATAAATGTAATTAAACTCTGTACAAGTCAGTTTTCCAGAATGGTATTAAACATTTCATGGCTTTGTGTTCTAAACATACAGTTTTTAAAAAGAAAACACCACCTGAGCATAACTATTTGACAGTAGCTGAACAAAACAGAAGGGTGTATAAGGAAATGCTTTTCTTCCAGTTCTGCTGTTCTCTGTATACTCAGGATTTTCATTTTGAGAAGAAATAAATAAATCCCAGTGCTGGCTTATACTGTGGCTGTGAGAATTAGATCATTATCAAAGACTGTCTGTCTTCCCACCTGTGGTTTGGCCCTTTCCCTGACCACATGAATGTATGCTGGATCTGGCTGAATCATGGATTTTGCTGTGAAGTGTCTTAAGCAAAAATTTCGTCAAGTTATGATTTGACTTTCTGAGGATTTTTGATTTGTTACAGTAAACTAAAAATGCCATCTTGAGTTAGCTAGAAGTATTTACTTCAACCTTAATACCTTGTTTTGATTCTCATATATGTGAATAAAATCCCCTCTTAGCCCTTTCTTATTTCCTTTCCTGTTAACTGAGGTTAAATTTCAAACAGACTTTGTGATGAAAAAAAAGTGGTTAAATGAAATTACAGCATAACCTTTAGGTTTAATTTTTGAAATGAAACATTTTCCTTTAAAAATACTGAAATAGAATATTTCGGTATTTTCAACATGTTTTTCACCTTTTCCAGCTGAAATTGGTTGTTGGATGCAGTCTGAATTTACACATAATTTCAACTCTTGACACACTTTTTCGTAAATCCACTCTTCTCTGAAAAGACCATGCTAACGAATATTTGTTTTGAGGTGCAGGAGAACTACTGAGGTCCTTAGAAGCATCAACAGTGAAAATTTGACAACCACAGGTATATTGTCATCATAGCAATGTTCATGTGACAGCTGTTAGCTAATGCTTGTGCCCTCACTGTTTTTATTTGGGCTCTAACCCCTTCTCAGTTGACATGGGTATGTAGTCACCTGTCTCCTGATATTCATTAGACTGCAGAGAGGAAAGTGCTACATTCCCAAAGAAAGGAGAGAGATGTGCTTCAGGCTCTT